GATAGTTTTATTAAAAGACAAGATAAGAATTTTAAGTTAAAAGAAGTATTATCTTTATTATATTAATAAGTTCAGTTATATCTTACATAAATTAAGCAAATTATTCTTAATTCATCTTTTTAAATTTAATACTAAAACTAATATATATATATATATATATATATATATAAAATATATATAGTATATAGTATAATATAAGCTATAGTAACTGATATTTATAATAATTATATTTGTTATTACAAAGTTAAAAATTATTTATTAATAGTTATAAACAAAATAAAATATAAAATAAATAGTTTCAATTTATAAAACTTATGATTTTTTATTATTGAATAGTAGTTAAATCTAAAATAAAAATATATAAAAGTAAGAACTTATTTATAATAAAAAAATATAATATAAAATATAATAATAATTAATTAAATAAAATATATGATTAAATAGAATTAATTATCTTAATAAATTAAAATATAAATATTTATAAATATATCTAATTAAAAATATTATTAATCTAAATTTGAAATTATGAAACATAAAGTAACATGATAATTTATAAAAATATAATTAATTTAATACTATATCCAGAGTGAAATTAATTTTTAAATTATATAATACAAAGATAATCTGTAATACAGATAGTATAAAATAAAGATCTAATACTAAAAGAATATAATCTAATCAAAATTGTTATTACAGTTTTGATCTTTTAAAAATCATTATATACTTTCTTTTTGCCAATCTTTTATATTTCATAGATTTATATATACTTTTAAATATATGAAGATATTGTTTAGATAAGATACAGATTAATTGATTAGTAATAATATTTGCTCTAATATTGATAAGATCTTTTATAATGTCATAAAATACTGATTTTGAGATCAATACTGGGGTATAGCTTTATTTTTCTTCTTTTTAACTATTTTAATAGGGAATATGATTTCTGCAGTATTGGTAACACTGGTAATTTCAAAGATAGAACTGATGAAGAGTTAGTACTAGAACCAGGCTTGATTTCTTCTTCTACAGTATTAGTTTTCATGAGTACTTCATAATTGATTTTAACTCTCTTTTTCTGATTTTCCAAATATTGATATGTAATAATAAGGTTGAACTAGTATTATTATTTATGACTGGTTGCTGATTGTTGATTAATTGCAATGCACATGTACATGGATTAAGTAATTAAGTTAAACATGTATACACATAAAAATACAATATTAAAACTTGAAAGACAACATAAAAGTTCTATTATGATCGAATATGATGCTTCGTCAACTTCGTGCATATGTCTAATTGTTGAAATTCTTGCGAAATGATAAAGATAACTATACTATAATAAAAGGTTTCTTGAACTACACTATTATTGTAGGCGTAAACGCGGATGTCTTTATGCTATTTTCATTACATGTATACGCATGCGCAACAACTGAATTTGATTTACAAAATGTAATTAGTAAATTCTAGGCACCTTTTTAACGATAAAAGCATATCTGAACAAGGTATCTATGAATTCAACTTGATCTCATGCATGTATTACTCACTTTCAGAATGATAATGATAATGATAATATACAATATACATGGATATGAAAATTAACAACATACTCAGTTGAATAATTTTCTTCTAAAATACGTTAATAAGCTATCTGATAAAAATTTTACTTTACATCTAAGATGTCATATCTTCATTTATCAAAATTTTATCTTGTACTACTTCTAACGGCTGCGTATTTATAATGTAATCTGAAAGCAATCCTTCTAAATATGCAAAACGTTTATCGTAATCTTCAAACTTATTATCTGATGAAAACATCGAGTTTAATGCCTCAAAGTTTAAAGACGAAACAGGCTTGTAGGTAGTGAGTTGCTCTAGCTCTGAGCGGAATACTTGATGCATAAAGCCCCAAGGTTTGATTTTCTTATCACCAAAGAGAAAATAATAAAATGTTGTGAAAATACCTGTTTTAAAAATATGCTTAGCAACAGTGAATTATCAATAATAAATCCTTAAAGATTAATAATTACTTACTAACAACACCACCGGCAACACCCAAAGAATTTAGTACCGTACGTAACCTAAAACAAATAAATTTTTAATATTTAACTATGTAATTTATAAGTTAAAAGCTAACATACAAACCGTCTTTCGATATTGATCTCATGCATATAGGTCTCAACATCGATAGAAATAAAGCCAGAAAAACTTTTGTTGAGAAATTGGTGATTTTCTTTAAGTGGGAAGGATGTTATAATACAAGGAAATGTTATTGTATCTTCGTAATCTGCTGAGATGCCAATGTAACTCTTAATATCATTTCGAGCAATAGACTTGTATGTATTTTTTTGAAATCTTATAACAGTTGAATGATTAATAAGTGCAGAAATACTACTGTCTTGCAGATGCATATCTTTAAGAACCTCTTCATCCTAATTTATGTCATTTAGAAATTGTTTTTAAAATGACAAAAATATATCTCATCAAACACATAAACATACATTTTTATGACTTACAAGTTTATTGCGCACTTTAGCATTAGGATCCCAGAGAAGATCACGTTTTGGATCATATAACTGTAGATCTTGAAGAAAGTAATAAAATGCTATATACATGTACATGCGGAATGAAATAATAACAGAAAAATCCTTTACCGATGCTTGGTATTTCATTTATTCCCTTTTCTGCAGCGGAAATGTTAGATATTGTATAAAATATTCCGGTTCTCCAAATGCCGCCTGTTATGTTTCCATAGAATAGTTCATTTGCAGAAAAGAGATAACAATAGGAACCACCATCTGTTGGATCTGCCCCCGGAATAATGTATGGCACCCCATTGCCTCTAACACAATCTTCAATGATATCGTTTTTGTGACCAATAGTATATACTAAAACACAATCATGAAATTCTAGTTTGGAACTACTTGAACAAATCTCCATATCTGTTTTAAATTTTTATAAATATAATAAACCTCAAGTTAATAAAGGAAGTGACGTTTATAATGATAACATGCCTGGTACTTCGATTTGATCTTCGAATTGATAAGCGATTTCAATTACTGGATGATCAGTTAAAATTTGCACCAACAAGAAACCGACATAGGTGAGCCATAGAAGAATGATTGAAAAAGCTACAACAGCCCTTAAAATTGAAAATTTTTTAGGCTCTTGAGTCTACAATAACGTTCAAATTAATTTATTTGACTCGTAATTTATTGTGTAAAATGAAATAAATTTCATGACATTACCAGAGTACGTCGAGGTCGGAATTCGCCAAACATTACAAAAGTATATTAAGATCTAATCTATTAAAACAAAACAACGAAAAACTTTTAATAGTTATTTTATATATGCATAAAATAATTTTGCCAAGCTACATGTATTACCAATTTCCAGTATTATATATACTAAATACTCTATTGTTATACCATGAAACCCAAAGTTCGTATAAATACATGTACCGTGGAATATAAGCAACATCTCCGTATTGATTTTTAACATTTTTTGTACCTTAAAAAAAATAATGTCAAACTTGTTTGATCATCAATGCAATCCATCATGGGACGGAATAAACATTCCGTATTAGTATACAGTACGTACAAACAAGTAGATCTGAAAATATGATTTGCTGTTTTTTAAAAGCTTCAAAAAAAGAACTTTCTAATAATGCACAGGGACATATCATTACATCATTAGGGTGTCATTCTTATCTTTCTTATTTTTACAAAGTTTATTAAGAATAATAGTTGCAGGTATCCAATGAATCTTCTTTTGTTCTAATAGTGTAATTATTTGTTTTACAAGAATTATGAGATGAGTGAATTGAATTCTCATATCGTCACAAGTTACAAGACTAAGAGTTCAATTCTGACAATTTCGATTTGTGGATTCATGGCTGGTTTAACATGTTTTGCGTAGAGATGAAAATTGGAAATTTGAGTATGACACAATATCAGATTATGAACTGTTAATAAATTAGTAGTAAACCAATCTTGATATTATTTAATTACAATGATAAGATTTCAGACATTATCGTTATAATTTATATTGCATACATGTTGTTTTCAGCTTCAGATGATTGGTCCAAATCAAAAATCATCTGAACATCTTTGGGTTTATGTTGTTACTGTCGCAACGAGAAATCCCATGATTATGAAATGTATCCCAATTAGTAGTGTTAAAAATGATTACATGTACAGTCACCAGAAAAAGTAACGACCGATTTTTTTAAAACATAAAATTTCGAATTTATTTTATTTCTGTCTTATATATATAAAAATATTTTTTACCACTAGCTAATACATTATTAACTTTTCATACAACTCTAATATCACTTTGATCTCTCAAGGCATTGAGCTTACAATCCTCTCAAAAGCAAACACATCAAATTTCCTTTAGAGTAGTCTTGAGCTTTTTCACGATCCTTGGGAAGCTTTTACACTTGAGAATATTGTTCTCACAGACATTTCTATGAAGTTTGGTCATGAGAACACAATATTCACTGATTTCTCTATTTGATTTATTCATGGCTTCTTTTCCTAATGTAGATCAAATTTTATTTTTTTGAAACATCATATATTCTTAAATCAATGAACAAAATATACTATGAAAAGGATCAAATTACCTTAGAGAATCTTCAGGTAAGTTTTTTGCACAGACTTTTTATTACCAATGTCATGCATGAGATAGCTTTTTAGTTTTTTGCATACATGCATTTTTTTTCTTGATAGTTATCTCACAGGCAGTGATAAATTTTTGTTTTTTCTGTTATGTTTAAAATTAAAATAATAAAATAATAAAAAAAATAGGATCAACAATAACAAAGAGGGAAAACGCGATGCATATATTTTCCCTTGTTGCTACACGTGCAAATCGGACGTTACTTTTCGTGGCGACTGTACATGTACATGTATTCCAATTGTCCCGCATCATTGAACCAAAATCACACAAAATTTATGCAAAAATTCTAAACTTGTAGCAACATTGAGATATTTCGCAAAATCCTTCAAAAAATCCCTACTTTATGATATCAGCATCAACATTGCACTCTTAATCTACAAATTTCTTACAAAAATTATTACTTTGCGCTCCCAAGAATGTGATTATCATTAGAAACTCGTCGTATCGTATGTTATTTCTTTGTTACATAAAGATTCTTGCAAAATTCATATTAAAATTCACCATTTATGTCGTTTATAATAATTTTACTTTATTTTATTCTTATAAGTAAAAATTCTTACAAAAATTCATAATTTGTACGCTAGACTCCGTGAGTTTTGTAGTAAAGGATATATAAATTATTGGATACTCACAAAGGACTGTGAGACAAGTCAATGTGTGGTTTAATAAATAAAAATTATTTTTAACTCATTCGGATTTTATTTCTTCTGTGCTTTATAAAAAATCGATAAAAAAAAATACATTAAGATTCAAACTAAAATACTAAAAATACTAGCACTAGTTTTTGGTGGTCGTGATGGTATTTGCGTATTCCCTCCTCAACCCTACCACGCATAATTATTAATATCCTTCTAACTTACTCTCCCTGCCGGGGAGCTATATATGTGTATATATATAAAAACCAAGTATTGATTGAATATGTTATTCAGGTAAATACTAACTAGTAAGTAATATAGAAGATAGTATAAAATTATGCGGAAAGAAATCTCAAAATAAAATTATAATTATTTATAATTAATTATGATTAACTAATATATTAAAACTCAAATTATTTTTAAATTTTGCAAGTTATTATTATAAATTTGTAAAAAATAAATTATTTTTTATATAATACTATCTGAAAATCTGTTAAATATTTATATAATATTAAAGAATATATAAAAAATTCAAATAATTATAAAAATAATAAGAATATTTATTTTTAAGAAGAAATATATAATAAATCTAAAATAATTAAAGATTAATAATTATTTTACAGATTTCTAAGCTATAACATTAAGTAATAAATATTTTAAATTAATAAATAATTAGATATCTCTTTCATAAATCAAAAGAATAATTCATATTTTTGATATTATTTCAAAGTCTTCTATATACAAATAATATTAATTATTTAATATTATTTCAAAGTCTTCTATATACAAATAATATTAATTATTTAATATAAAATAATATTTCTGAAATATTTTATATAATATTCTATTAAATTATTTTATTATTCTATTAGTTTATGAGTAATATAATAATGAAAACTTGTGTTTGATTTCAAATCAAGTAATAAGTTTTTTAATTATTTGAGCTATAAATTCAGTTTCTTAATTAAATTATAATTTTTTAGAATATTTATATCTATAAATTATTTTTTTAGAAATAAATTTAGTAATTATACTAGCTTTTTTATTTTTATTTAAAATTACTTTTGTTTTAGATTATTTAATTAACAAATTAATTATTATAATAATATATTGATCTTATTTTCTAGTTATTTTACAGAATCTAATTAGATTAATAATAATTCTATCAAAAGGCTGTCCTATTTTAACAAGATATAGAGATCATTTTATAATTTATTTATTAATTCTTTAATATATTTTATAAGATCTAATAAATTTTTTTATATTTGTTCTCATTTCATTTTACTAATATCTAATAGCTATTTATTAATAAATTTTATTAAATTCAAAGTATTTAGCAAGTAAATTTAAATATATGCTATTTATTATTACTTTAATTTTATTTTTTTTTAATACTTGAAGTAATGTAATAGATTTTTTTCTTTTATTTTTTTGTAGAATATTTTATTAATTATTAAAAAATATTTTGATTATTTTTTTATTATTCTTCAGTATATTTTATAAATAATATTTATTTTTAAAATATCTTATTATATTATAATATATTATTAAATCTATTAAGTTGAGTTAATCAAATTTGAATAATCTATTTAATTAGTTATCCAGTAAATATTATTTCAAATAATATAATGTTTAGATAAGTGTATCTTTTCTATTCATATAAATATATTCTTAAAAGAATATTTATATTTTGATTAGTTTTTTCAGTTTAACAAGTAATAATAAAGATATATTTCATTATAGTTATTATTTAATAAGAGATTTCAGATTTAGAATTAACTTATTTAATAAATAATTAATAAAATATATTATAATTAGTAATAATTTTAAAAGTAATTCAAAAAGATAATATTAAAATTATCTAATAATTCAGATTATAATTAAAACTTTTTTTTAATAATATTATAATTCTTTTCAACTAGCTTGAGCAAAATAATTATATATTATTCTCTTTTTTTATTATCCTTTTGAAATAATGTCAAGTTTAGAATCAGAAATATTAGTATAAAGATAGAATTTTTTTTATAAAATCAGAATAAATTAAAATTAAAATAGAGATATATTTTTTTTAAAGTTTGAAATGTATTTTCTTAATTTATAGTTCAAATAAAAATAATATTATTTTTTAAAAGTTTAAATAAAGATATTATAATTTGAGAGAATTCTTTAATAAATTTTTTGTAATATCTTGTAAGTTCTAAGAATAATCTAAGCTTTTTTATAGTTATTGAAATAGAAAATTCTTGAATTTATTAAATTATTAAGAAATCAGATAAAATTTCATCTTAAGTTATTATATATCTATGAGAGAATAAATTATCTTGAGTAAAGTTATATTTTTTTAAATTAAGTTTTAATTTAGCTTTTCAAATTTTTCAAAAAACTTTTTATAAATATAATAGATATTTTTTTCAAGTTTTTAAGTAGATATTAATATTATTAATATAGATCATGATAAATTTCTAGTTATAATTTTTAAGTATATTATTTATAGCTTATTAAAAAGTAATAAATATATTACAAAGTTTAAAAGATATTATTTTGAATTATATAATTTTTCTTTAAATATGAAAATAGTTTTTTTTATATTAAATAATTTTATTTTAATTTGTTAATAATTAAAGA